GGAGACAGCTGGGCACGGGAGAGTGGTCGAGCTGCGAGCAACTGCTGGTCCTGAAGTAGGATTAACCAGGGCAACAGGGACTGGAGCCGAAAGAGGTGTGACAGTGGTGTGGTCGTGGAAGAAGCACTGAGACGCGCCGGAGTCCAGCGTGAAGGAGAGCGACGCAACAGCAGTCGTCACGGCTGGGCTAGTGACTACACAAGCACCTACACTAAAAGCACAAGTACCGACACTAGCAACAGGCAAAGGTCCTGAGCTAGGTACACGTAAGCCAAGAGATCCGTACGTGACAGAATAAACAGCATCCATAGACATATCAAACACAGGGTAACCACTACGAAACAGACCGGGCCAGATCGGGGGAACCGACTCAGGCCCAAAACGCTCACGGTAAAGGTCGTCGAGGCGGCTGTAGCAGCGCTGTGTAGAGTGGTCAGGACGACAGCAGGTAGTGCCAGCACCAGGGCCGGTCAGGATCCGGTACTGGCAGGGGCCGACGTCGCGGCCACCGCGACGAGCCCCCCAACTGGCTGGGCCGCTGCTGCAGCCAACGCTACCCGAACCACCATGCCCCCACGGCTGCTGAGGGTGCCACAGCTGCTGAGGGCGGAGCTGCTGCTGAGGGCGCCCCTGCTGCTGCGGAAGCCACTGCTGAAATGGCCGCTGCTGCTGTCCCTGCTGCTGGACAACCCTGGTGGACTCCATGATAAAAGCTAGCAGGGTGCAGGAGCGGCAGGCTAGGAGCGACAGGAGCTAGGGACGGCTGCAGTGAAAAACGAGAACAACTAGGAGCGCCAGGTGAAACTAGGCGAGTAACTGCTGGAGCACGGAGCAAACTGAGCTAGAAGCGCCAGGTGAAACTAGGCGAGGAACGGCCGGAGCACGGAGCAAACTGAGCTAGGAGCGAGGAGCGAGAACGGCTGGAGCGAGAACGGCTGGAGCAAGAACGGCTGGAGCACAACTGGCTGGAGCTAGAAACGGCGAGCTAGGGCTGGCTGGAGGTAGGAACGGCCAGAGCTAGAGACCGTAAATGCAGCTGTCAGCTGCCGCTAGTAGAGCCACTGGCAGTGGAAAGTATGTGCGACAGTAGGGGCTGCAGTACTAACGGCTGCGGAATGGAGGCAACTGTGCAGGTCGTCCGGCAAGCAGGAACGCGGACGACAGTTGCAGGCCCCCACCATAAACCCTTTTTTTTCTTAGGGTTTAATATATTTATTTATTTTCTGGCGCTAAAGCGCTCCGGGACGCGCTGCCTGCAGGGTGTGCTGCCTGCGGGGCGCGCTACCCGCGGGGCGCGCTACCTGCGAGGCTGGGGCGATGGGCTAGGGCGCGGGCTGGGGCGACGGGCTAGGGCGCGGGCTGGGGCGACGGGTTAGGTCGCGGGCTGGGGCGACGGGCTAGGGCGCGGGCCTGGGCGACGGGCTAGGGGCGCGGAGGTCCGCGACGGCGCGGGCTAGGGGCGCGGAGGGCGCTAGGCGCGGAGGTGGAGGGCGCTAGGGCGCGGAGAGGGCGTGGAGGGCACAGAGGCTAAGGTGCGGAGGGCGCGGAGGGCGCGGAGGGCGCGGAGGTGCGCTAGAGAGGGCGCGGGCTAGGAAGTAACGAGGAACTAACCTACTCGTGATACCATCTCAAAGTAGGAAGGCAACGGAATAGTTTGACTAGAAAGGAGTTGGGGTACAAATAGGAAACCCTAACATGTTTGTACTCACTAAGGAGCACCTCACTACAGCCTATCACAAATGTCAACATTTGACACCTGCTACGGAACTGGCGATCCACACGTAGCGCGTCCCTGCGATCACAAATGTCAGGGTGTATGCTTAGTCATTAAGTCCACAATGGCCGACCACAACAAAATCGTTGTACACCTTGTTCAGCTTCGCTTACCGATTGGTGCCTGGGGCTAGCAGGGAGAAGGGTTGGTGAGTTAACGCGGCTTTGGGGCAATTAGTACAGGTGTATAGCTATGACATGCTCCGTAACTCGGTTCCGCCGGGGCGCTGAATTGCTTCAGGTGCGAATACTTCAGCGGTGATGCAGTTGTTGAGGGACTGGCGCGGGGGATGTTCGAGTCGCTGGAGCTAGAAGAGATCGTCCGTTGCGCGGACTCCAGGGGTGCGAGAGATAATGCGCGGACTTCGGCGGAATCTTCTTCAGGTATGTGCTCGGGTTCTGCTTGTCTTTCTTCCCCCACCGTTTCTTCTTAAGTCGCCGTTGACAGCATTAGCGAGAGTAAGGTGCGGTCGGGGATGACGGAGAGTGGAATGCTCGTTCCCGGAATGGTGTCTGGAACGAGGTCAGGTTCACGCTGCTCAGGGTCGGGGCCGTAGTCGATTTTTGTGTCTTATTAAAACTGCAATTGCACCTGTATCCAGGGTACCATGTCATCATTCAAGAGTTCCATATATTTTCTCACAATTTTGTAGTTTCAGTACACCTTAACAAGCCTAGGATGCAGTGCATACTACTACACTACCGGTATGCATGAAGAGACATCCTGCTACCACCTGCAGCAGTGACTGCTGCAGCGCAGGGATGGTGAGCAGCCAACAGCTCCACAAATCTGGAAAAGTTCAATCACCAGAACTTGCTACTCCCACTCCTCAAGCCAAACATAACCCCCACATCCTCCTTCCCCCCTCAACCGCCTCATCAGATCTTGGTATAAGTGGGGATGATCACCCGATCCACCCCATGGGCAATGAACCATCGCCCCACATACAGGCCCGGGATGCGAATAGTGGTCCACTGGTCTGCCTTCAAGTACGGCCCTCTAGCAAACGACACAGCACTGTTGTTCCCCATCGGCGTCATCTTGAAGAGCGGCTGTCTCAGCTGCGTGCCTATCGCCGTCCGCAGCTTCACCTGCCTCATCTGCGGGAGGGTCATTCGGCGGCGCAGGATGTGGAACGCTGTGATGTTGTACAGTGTGGGGATGCTGCTGCTCTTAGCGGGGATTCTCTTAGCGAGGGCTTCTGCGTGCACGTTGTTGGGGATGAGGATGGACGCGTCTCGCAGCGCCGACAGATCGTACTTGGAGTTCACTGCAGGGGCAGGGCGGGGGGGGGGGTTGTGCAGGGGAAGGAGGCAAGGGAGGGGGCGGGTGGGGGGAATGGAGGGGGATGGAGAGCGGGAAAGAGGGGAGAAGGAAGGCACAGTGAGTAATTTCGGAAACAAAGAGGGGAAAGTGGGGTGTTGGGGGAAGGGGAGGGAACTTGGCCCAGACAAGATGGGAATGAGCACGAAACGGGCAACTTGGTTAGCGAAACAAAGAGGGATTCAAGGTACTTGGCCACGTAGTCGCTGGTGCAAGGGCTTACGTGCGAAGTTGATGTATTTGGTGGCGTCCTGCGCGTATCGCGAGTACTGCGGGTACCGCTTCACGATGCTCTTCGCCATGCTCTGCAGCTCCGCGCGCAGCTGCGCCTTCGTCGGCGGAGGAGGCTGCGCGCAGCTCGTCGGAACGCACGCCGCCGCCACGCACATGACTGCTACGAGGAGCAAGCCGCCTCCGAGTCGCGCCGCCATTTTCCGGTGATTGCCACGAGCTTCAGACACGTAACTGCGCCTTGCGGATGGTATCGCCCTTGAGAGTTAAGAGTGTAGTACACGCTGATCGTTGAGTTTGATCGCTGATCGCCCTAGAGAGACTAAAGAGGATAATCCTGAGATGGAGAGTATGGGCTGGTTGGAATTTCTGAGGGGCTCTATAACAGCTGGTATTATCGTTGTCGTTGGAATTGTTCGTCGAGCTGGGAGCTAGGACGTCGTCGTATTAGGCTGTTGCTAAACGGTTGTGATGTATGTAGGTTCTAACCAAGCCGTATTAATAGGCTCACGAGAGGTGCCGTGCTGGCCGGAGCGCTCCTGTCCGGATCGCTCCTGGCCAGATAGACCCTTCACAGCTCGCCCGTTCCATGTAACGCCCAAAGGCGCACACCGCGACGACTCGCCGCCATGGACACGCGAGGAAGCTGAGTCGCCGCCAGCAGCGGTGACATGCGGGGAAATCGCTGCGCCATTGTCGCCATATAGACGCCGTGCCGCGCCGATTCGGCGCGGAAGGGCTGGCTAGATAACGCGTCAACATATGGTGTGATCCTGACAGGAAGACGAGCGAACCGTCCTTTTTTCACGTGTGTGAGCGGGTGTTACATGTATGTTAATTTTTGTGTTTCGGTTGATGCAATATATCTGTGGTGATTTAAATTATAGCACGTTATAATGTGGATGTTTATGAGCCTAAAGAAATCTACACAATAAATGTTTTCCTAAATTCAGCTTTTCTTCTACACTTTATTATAGGTAATGCGCTTGAAAATTTGACCCGATTATGTGGCACTTCGGGCTTCGGCATCTATTGAGCTTGTAAACGTTAAGACAATATAGTGAAAATCGCATTGAAACCCTTGTTGTACGGTGTACAGCTCGGTTGAAATGTTGCGGTACCAGTCAGGGAATTCACGCACAGTTGATGGGTACCACGCAGGGAAGATGGGTACCACGGAGGGAAGATGGGTACCACCAAGGGGTGCGCATGATCTGACGGGTACCATCGAGCCACGTAGGTGACTTTTGACGTCAGCGGGCTCGATGTTGGTTACCCAGAATGTAATTACCCGAGGATCCCGTGCGGTTACGCGTGGCGAAACAGTGATTCGGTGCCATGAGGTACGGGGGATGTTCGTCGGGCCAGTAGATGCACTGTATGGAGATGCTGGGTGTACTCACTAGTCATAGTGTTCCCTTTTATTCTCTTCCTATACCAAGTGTACAACATAGGGCACGTCACGCATTTTCCAATTAGCAACCATGGGAGGAGGGGGATATCTGTGCTATTTACTTGTGTATGGAACATTATGAAATTGTTGACGGGGTTTAATCAATCATACACTTTAGTGAGCATAACAATGACTACAATGGGAAGTCGGAACGTTTTACATCGTGAGTATCTAACAGCATGTGAAGTTGTTACAAACTAGTTCACATATGTATGTTGGTTAGTAATAATAACGTCTCCTGCCAAACTTGTGATACTTGGGCAGACCAAAATCTGGGTAAGCTGGGGCAGCAGCAGGTGGGGCAGGCGGTGGTGCAACAAGTGGAAGCGTTTTTTTCTTCTCCAGCATCATCTTGAAGGTCTCCTCTGCCTCTACCTGCTTCAGAACGTCCGCCCCTGCTCCGAGCCTCGCCATCCGGTCCGGGTGATACCGAAGCAGCGCCTTCTTGAAAGATGCTTCAACCTGGCAGGCACGAGGAGTGGGCAACAGGACAAGCAAGCAACGAGTCAGTTGAATGAGTCAGGTGCCAGTTTAAATAGCAACAATCACACTGTTTCCACACGATTATTGAGCGAGGTATTGGGTGAAATATCACTAAAACGATTGAGAAAAGGGCATCGCGAAGAAAAACAAAGTGTGTCTCTCACCTGCTGAGTCGATGGTTGCGGCATGTCATCCACTTTTATCCCGATTTTATCAAGGACTGACGCAAAGTCACGGCACCCTGCCATGCGCTTGGCAAGGTCAGTGTGGACTGATGCTCTCAGCTGCTCCTTTAGACCAGATGCCCTCTCGACCTGAAAGGAGCAAGAAGGGAAGCAGGGAGTCAGGCGAGAGCCAAGCAGGGGAAGGAGCAGACACACCGGCCAGTCAGGTGCTGCAAGGGAACAATTTGCACCAATACTCTCAGCTGCTACCGGTCACGGCCTGTTGTTCGCAGTAGCAGGCAAATCAAAGAAAGAAGCAAGAAATAAAGAGAACGGAAAAGAAGGAAGCAGGGGTAGATTGGCAGGAGTGGCATGGCAACCAGATAGAAGCAAGAGGCAAGTGGAAACACGTGAGTAGAGCAGCAGGAATGAGTAGCACACGCAGGACTTTCCCTGATTTTTGACAGACAAAGAATGTTGAAGGATGAAGGCCGCCAAGCATAAAGAAGAATGAACAAAGGAAAATGAAGAAGAATGAAGAGGATTCAAGACACTCCCTTCACCTGCTCCTGCTGCTGCCGAACCTCCTCCACACGCTTCTGCTGCCGAGCCTGCATCCGTTCCAGCCTCTCACGCTCGGCACGCTCCGCCCTCCTCCTTCGCTTCTCAGCCTGAGCCTCCTCCGCCTGCTGCTGCAGCACCTTCTGCCTTTCCCTCCACTCCTCATCCTCCACACTTTGAAACCCCTCACTCTGCCGCATAGCCTCTCTCCCCATCTCCACTGCTGCTCCACCAACGGCTACACCTGTCGTAGCTTCTCCTGTTGTTTCTGCTCCTGCCGTTGCAGCTCCTGCCGTTGCAGCTCCTGCCGTTGCAGCTCCTGCCGTTGCTGCTCCTGTCATTGCTGCTCCTGCCACTGCTGCTCCTGCCATTGCTTCTCCTATTCTTGCCTTTCCTGCGACGGCTGTTCCTATGGCCCCATTGTGCCCCTCCTTCCTTCCCTCTCCTTCCCTCTCCTTTTGATCTTCTCCCTGTTTCTCCTCTCTTTCCCTTTCTCCATCCTTTCTTTTTTTGGCTTCCTCCCCCCTCTCATGACTCCTTAGTGCACCATCTCCTTTATCCCCTACCGCAACCTCCCTCTCTCTCTTATCCGTCTTGTCTACTCCACCCTTCATCCCACCATCCGTCATCCGACCATCCTTCAATCCATCATCCCTCCTTTTCCTCATTGGCGTTTTGTGCCCTCCATCGGACCCTCCAGTTAGATCTTGAATCTCTCTTAACCCCTTCCGCCTTTCCCTCTTCTCTCCACTCAAACTCCCCTGCCGCTGCTCCTCTTCCTCTGCTGCTCCTGCTGCTGTGCCTCCCTCTCTTTCCACATCCATGTTTGCTGCTGCTGCTGCTGCTGCTTCGACCCAACCCCTGCCTGCTACTCCTACGCAATTCCTCTCTGCTGCTTCAACCCCTCTCCCATCTGCAGCTCCAACCCCTCTCCTGTCCGCTGCTCCTGTAGTGTCTGCAGCTTCTCCTGCTGCTGTCCTTCTCTCAGTTCCTGCTGCGCCCATGCTTGCTCCCGCTTCCCCCCCGATCCTCTCTGCTGCAGCGACAGCCGTTGCCGTATCTGCTGCTTTTGTATTTTGTGCCTTTCTGTAACCAGCTGCTTCTGTCACCCCGTCAACTGCTGCGTACATTCCTTCTGCTGCCCCTTTTGCCGCCCCTTCTCCTGCCCTTTCTGCTGACCCGTCTGCTCCTCTCTTACCTACCACTCTCCGCCCTCCCATCATCCCTTCACCAGAAGCCCGCTGGGCTGCAGACGCTCTGAAAACCCGCGCCTCAAAGCTCCCTTCTGACCCGCTGCTGCCACCCCTAACTGCACCACCAGTCCCCCCACCTGCTGCAGCATCCCCACCAGTCCCACCAATCCCACCAATCCCAACAGTCCCACCATCCCCACCCCTCCCCGCACCTCCTGCAGCAGCTGAACGCCCAGCAGCTGCTTCACGCCTGCTCGCCCTAGCCTTAGCAGTGGAGGCGTCTGACTCATCACAGCTTGAAGCTGAGTCAGTGTGACTGGGATCCGAGTCATCAACATCAACTGCATCAAACCTTCCATGCCCACCCTTCCAAACCCCACGCCCTACTCCCGCTCTTCCCCGAACCCCATGCACTCTCTGTTCTGCTCCCTGCTCTGCCCTCTGCTCTGCCCTCTGCTCTGCCCTCTGCTCTGCCCTCTGCTCTGCCCTCTGCTCTGCCCTCTGCTCTGCCCTCTGCTCTGCTCTTTGCTCTGCTCCCTGCTCTGCCCCTCTACCTGTAACCTTGACTGCATTGACTCCCTTCACTCCATTGACCCCTTTCACTCCCTTGACTCCCTTGACTCCAAACGAAGCAGCACCAAACAAAGAAGCACGAAACGAAGCACCTCCAAACGAGGCAGCAACAAACGAGGAGAGTTCAGCATGACTGCTGTCCTCAGCATGACTGCTGTCCTCAGCATGACTGCTGTCCTCAGCATGACTGCTGTCCTCAGCATGACTGCTGTCCTCAGGGCTGCTAGAGCTGCTACCAGCGAGCTCTTCTTGACCCTTGTCCTCATCGCTGCTAAGACTCTCAGCCTCAACCCACTGCTGCTGCTGCTGCTGCTGCTGCTGCTGCTGCTGCTGGTTGTGTTGTTGTTGTTGGTGGTGGTGCTGCTGCTGCCGCAGCTGCTGGGAGTGCTGCTGCTGGTGGTGGTGGTGCTGCTGCTGCTGCCGTTGTTGTTGGTGCTGCAGTTGCTGCTGCCACTGCTGCTCCTGTCCCTGCGGTTGCTGCTGCTGCTGCTGCTGCTGTTGCTGCCCTTGCTGTTGCTGCCGCTGCTGCTGCTGCTGCTGCTGCTGCTGCCCCTGCTGCCGCTGCTGCCCCTGCTGCCGCTGCTGCCCCTGCTGCTGTTGCTGCCGCTGCTGCTGCCCCTTCTGCTGTTGCTGCCGCTGCTGCTCCATGTGCCACTGCGCTTGCCTCTTGGCTTGCCTCGCCTTAGCAGCAGCCTCCCACACTCGCCTCATCTCCTCCGCTTCACCAACCACCAAATCCTCCTCCTCCTCTTCCTTCTCTTCTTCCCCACCTGCACCCCGGACAGCACCAGCAGCAGCAGCAGCATCAGCAATGGCAGCAAAATCAACAGCGGCATCAGTAGCAGCACCACCAGCAGCAGCCTCCCACACTCGCCTCATCTCCTCCGCATCACCAACCATCACCTCCTCCTCCTCCTCTTCCTCCTCATACTCGTCTTCCTCCTCCTCCTCTTCTTCCCCTCCTGCATCCCCTTCACCGGCTCCAGCAGCGGCAGCAGCAGCAGCGGCGCCAGCAGGAGTTGCACCAGCAGCAGCAGCACGCAGAGCAGCGGCGTTGGCAGCAGCAGCAGCCTCCCACATACGTCTCATGTCCTCTGCATCGCCACACACCAGATCATCATCATCATCATCCTCTGCCTTTGCTTCTTCATCCTCATCTGCTTCCTCTACAGCAGCAGCAACAGCAACAACAGCACCAGACGCAGCAAAATTAACAACAGCACCAGAAGCAGCAAAATTAACAGCAGCATCAGGAACAGCAGCTTCCCACATGCGCCTCATGTCCTCTGCATCACCACACACCAGATCATCATCATCATCCTCATCCTCCTCCTCCTCTTCCTCCTCTTCCTCCTCTTCCTGTTCATCCATCTCCTCCTCTGCCTCCCTCCCCTTCACTCTCCCCTCCTCTACCTCAACCCCTCCCTCCTCCTCCGCTTCCTCCTCCCCATCCACCCCCCCATACGCCATGGCAAGCAGAGAAGCAAAACAGGCATCAGCACCACTGGTGTCGTTTTCATGCCGACCCACGACGTTAGTAGCACCTTCAATATTGTCACCCTCCATCATGTCACCACCATCATTTGCACCCTCGCCACCTCCTTCTTGGAAGCTGCCTTCACTCTGACCTTGTGCCACTGGTCCCAAGAACGTTGTCACTTTTGTTCTCCTGCTTGCTGCTAGGAATGCTGGTGCTGTTATATGTTCACCTGTCGTTGCAGTGCCGGCAGTAAAATCAGGAGCAGCCCCCCCAGCAGCAGGATTGGCAGCAACACCAACAGCAGCATAAGGAGCAGAAGCATTGGCAGCAGCCTCAGAGGCAGCACCACGAGCAACAGCATCGGGAGCAGTAGCACAAGCAGTGGCATCAGGAGCAGCAGGATCAGAAGGAGCAACATCAGCAGCAGAAGCACGCAGGGCAGCAGAATCCCACATACGCCTCATGTCCTCTGCATCGCCACACACCAAATCATTCGCTCCCGCTGCTTCCTCTGCTCCCTCTGTTCCCTCAGCTTCCGCTGCTTCCTCTGCTCCCTCTGTTTCCTCTGTTCCCTCTGCTCCCTCTGTTCCCTCTGCTCCCGCTGATTCCTTTCCTCCCTCTGTTCCCTCAGTTCCCTCTGCTTCCTCTGCTCGCTCTGTTCCCTCTGCACCCTTTGATTCCTCTGCTTCCTCTGCTCCTTCCTCCTCCTCTTCCTCCTCCTCTTCCTCCTCCTCTTCCTCCTCCCCCATCTCCTCGTCTCCTTCGTCCACCCCCCCATAGGCCGAGGCAAGAGCAGCAGCTAAAGTAGCAGCAGCATCACTCGAGTCGTCATCGTTCTTCTGCCAAGTAACGACATTAGTAACACCTTCACTATTGTCACCTCTCAAATCTTCATCCTCCGTAATGTCACCTCTAAAGTTGTCATCCTCCATATTGTCACCTTCATTCTTTGCATCACCACCATCCCCATCTCTGAACCCATCTGTCGTTACCCGGGCTGCTGTCAGCACTGTTGATGCTTCTGTACCTGCTCCTCCTCCTTCTCCACCGTCTCCTCCTCTATCTCCTCCCCCTCCCGTTTTTTCCACATCGTCTCCTCCTCCTGAACCTGATGCCTCCGGTGGCTCCTCAACAGCGAATTCATACTCAATCTGCTGCTTAGAATCATCAAGAATCTGAGCAGCATCCGTCCTCTCCTTCACGCAATTCCCCTCGCTTCCCCTCATATCTGCATCATTACTCATCCCTGTTATCCTTTCCTCATTCTCCAACCCTTCACAGCTCATTCCCGAATTCCAACCATTCTCGAACCTTCTAGAAGCCCCCTGACCGTTGTCTACGCCAGCTGCTCCATCTAAACAATCACGTCCGTCCGTTTGACGGGATCTGAACCGCTTGTGCTCCTCTGCTTGAGACTGAAACGTCCTACCGAGCTCCTCTGCTGGAACTGAAATCCTAGCCGTTGGATCTATACAGATTCTTCCTGCTGATCTGCCAATCAGCTCATCTGCTCCTTCCTGTCCACCCCCTCCTCGATCCAGATTCACGTTCCTTTCAGCTGCCTTGTCAGATTCCGCTTCGTTACAAGCACGTCTCTCGCGCTGCCTGACAGCTCCTTCGTTATAAACAACGTGTCCATCATTCGGCCAATCATGCTCCGCCGGTTCCTGCGATATCCGATCGTCTAAGCGTCTGCTGCTTCTGCTTGCTGCTATAGGCTGCGACGTTCGAGCATCCAAGCATCTGTCGCTTGTTGCTGCTGTCACTAAACCAGCCTCTGAACTACATCTTAAGTTGGTTACTGCACGAGGTTCTAAACTAGGTCCTAATCCGGTCCGTAAACCACCAGCTACAGTTGAAGCCTCTCGAGCGGACGCCTCTCGCGCTGCAGTTGGGTCTTCGAGTGTTGTGCGGGAGGAAAACACGCGGTACGCGTTGGTAACACTGACAGAGTTGGTCGGAATACGTGTATTAGGATCACTGTCAAGCATCACTAAATCGTCATCATCCTCCTCTTCTTCCTCTTCAGACTCCACGTATCCCTCCTCCTCTTCCTCCTCTTCATCCTCGTAGCGTACTATAAGAGGGTTACAGTAGCGATTCCGGTCAGCGGGACCGTTGGTCGCCGTCACTTCTTCGTCGAAGTCGTCGTCGCATACTATCACTTCCACCCCCTCGGGAATCCGAGATTTCACGGAGTTGCAAGCCATCAGTGCGAAAAATAAATCTGACAGCTCGAACTCATTCACATGAAAACGCGTCTTAATTTTGACATTTTATATTTGTTGTGCATTAACAACAAGCCTCGATGGCGCAGTCGGTAGCGCGTAGGTCTCATAGCAACCCGACTCCCACACAATGGGACGGAGCCATCCTAAGGTCGTGAGTTCGATCCTCACTCGGGGCAGATGTTTTGCACGATTGAAGGATTTGTTTTACAGCTACAAGTGGTTCACATTGGTGAAGCTAGGTTCCATTATGCATAGCATAAGCTAACTATTTTTAAACAGAGGTGGTAGCTTACGAAACCCCCTCTTTTTGGCTTTCTAAAACTCATGCTGGATGTAAGGATTTACAAATCCTTACTGAGGCACTCGTTAGCGAGGACATCCCGAGGGTCACGCGACGAACCTGTTGGGCCTATTTCGTCGCACCGAACCACCCCCGAGTCGGCCTCCGCTCCAAACGCAACCATCACCGAGCCGTCCCATCCCGAACCCCCCGCCTAGCTAGGTTTCCCCCTATTTAGGCCTCGCTACTTCCATTGTTTCTTCATTCAGTAATTCAGTACTCAATCATTCTCGTTATTCGTTTTACTGCGCACTCTGCAAGTTCATTCATAACACTGGACGAAACATAACGCGTGAGGTGAGGTGACCGATGTTGTGAGAGGACATTGATATTGCACTTGGTATACCGAGAATATGAAAAGGTACACTCTGACTGGAGGGCGCACCCAGCACTTGCATCTGACAGCCCGCCTGACCTTCCCCGCACCTCGAAGCACCGAATGACTGGGTCGCAAGTGGGTCGTCGCATAATCGCACATGCATTAGTCGCACATGCATTAGTCGCACATGCATTAGTCGCACACGCGTCAAACGCAACTCACGTTCATCCTAGCCATCGGCTCACGAATCATCAGCATTCGCTTCCTCTCAAAACCCTGCGTAACCGATCATTGTTGCCAACTACCCTTCTTATACCTTTTTTTAAAACCTTCTGAACCGTAGTTCTGGAACTTTCACAAGCGTCCACAACCTCTTCTTCTGTTGTCTAGGAACTTTCACACCAGCTCACAGGCGTATTTTCAACTCAAACCAGTCGTCGTCGTGTCTATTAGAGGAAATCACGCTGGTAGAATAAAGGGCGGTTCGCGTCTCTTCTTGTCAGTATCGCACCATGCGCTTACGCGTTATCCAGCAAGTCGTTCCGCGCCGAATCGGCGCGGCACGGCGGCTGTGTGGCGGCAATGGCTCAGCGATTTCCTCGCATATCGCCGCGGGACGGCTGTTGGCGGCGACTCAGCTTCCTCGCGTGTTCGTGCAGCTTTAGGCGTTACATGGAACGGTCGAACTGCAAGGGTCTATCTGGCCAGGAGCGATCCGGCCAGCATGCCATACCTCTCGTGTACCTACTACTAATACGGCTTGGTTAGAACCTGCATACATCACAACCGTTAAGCAGCAACCTAATACGACGACGACCTAGTTCTCAGCACGACGAACAATTCCAAAGACGATACTACCAGCTGTTATAGAGCGCCTCGGACATTTCAACGAGGCCATACCATCCCGCTCAGGATCATCCTCTTTAATCTCTCATACTCAACGATCAGCGTGTACACCCTTAACTCTCAAGGGCGAAGCCATCCGCAAGGCCCAGTTACGTGTCTGAAGCTCGTAGCAATTACCGGAAATGGCGACTCGACTCGGAGGTGGCTTGCTCCTCGTAGCAGTCATGTGCGTGGCGGCGGCATGCGTTCCGACAAGCTGCGCGCAGCCTCCTCCGCCGACCAAGGCGCAGCTGCGCGCGGAGCTGCAGAGCATGGCGAAGAGCATCGTGAAGCGGTACCCGCAGTACTCGCGATACGCGCAGGACGCCACCAAATACATCAACTTCGCACGTAAGCCCTTGCACCAGCGACTATGTGGCCAGTTATTCTGAATCACCTGCCTTTTCTTTGGTGCTTTGGTAACAACGTTGCCCGTTCCGTGTTCGTTCCCTGGTGACTAGACCTAGCTGACCACATTCCTGCATCCCTTGTACACCAAAATTCTCCTTTTTGTTTCTGAAATCAATCACAGATTTTTCCTTCTCCCCTCTTTCCCCCTTTCCATCCCCTCTTCAACCCCCTCCTTTCCCTTCCCCTCCCCCCACTCCCCCTTGCTTTTCCCCTGCAGTGAACTCCAAGTACGACCTGTCGGCGCTGCGAGACGCGTCCATCCTCATCCCCAACAACGTGCACGCAGACGCCCTCGCTAAGAGAATCCCCGCTAAGAGCAGCAGCATCCCCACACTGTACAACATCACAGCGTTCCACATCCTGCGCCGCCGAATGACCCTCCCGCAGATGAGGCAGGTGAAGCTGCGGACGGCCATAGGCACACAGCTGAGGCAGCCGCTCTTCAAGATGACGCCGATGGGAAACAACAGCGCTGTGTCGTTTGCTAGGGGGCCGTACTTGAAGGCAGACCAGTGGACCACCATTCGCATCCCCGGGCTGTATGTGGGGCGATGGTTCATTGCCCATGGGGTGGATCGAGTGATCATCCCTACACACACCAAAGTATGATGAAGTAGCTGCGGAGATAGGAGGAAGCGAGTGTCAAATGTTTATATATTCTATATATTGTTAGATAGGCTACTGTGAGTTGCCCTCTAAAGGGTACAACACTTTAGGTCGACATTTGCATCTCCTTGTCCCTCCTTACTCAAACATTACTCTCGACACTTGTCTCCTAGCCTATCTTAAGATGGTATTAGAGTAGGTTTTTTACTCCCTCCCACGCTTCCGCTCCCTCCCTTAGCCGGTCCCGAGGCGCCCGTCCCTTAGGCCCCGTTTCGTCGCGGGTAGGACGGCCCCCGCGGGCCTCGTTTTCGTCGCGTTTAAGGGCCCCCGCGGGCCTCGTTTTCGTCGCGTTTAAGGGCCCCCGCGGGCCTCGTTTTTCGTCGCGTTTACAGGGCCCCACTGGCCCCTCGTTTCGTCGCGCTCCAGAAGGGACTCTCCCCCCCCCCCCCCCCCCGCGGGCCCGCGTAGTCGTTCTTAGCCCGCAGCAGCGCGCGCGTTAGCCAGCGGCAGCCGCGCACGCCACTGCAGCACGCGCATTGCAGCAGCAGCGCGTGCTTTGCTGCAGCAGCACGGCTAGGCAGCAGCGCGTGCATTGCAGCAGCAGCACGGCTAGGCAGCAGCGCGTGCATTGCAGCAGCAGCACGGCTAGGCAGCAACGTGTCCATTGCAGCAGCAGCACGGCTAGGCAGCAGCGCGTGCTCCTGCAGCAGCAGCACGGCTAGGCAGAAGCTAGCCGCCAGCAGCAGCTAGCCACCGGAACCTAGCCGCCAGCAGCTGGCGCCAGCTAGCCCCTCCCACCCGCCCACAGCCCCTTTCAACCGCTCACAGCCCCTTCCAACCGCTCACAGCCCCTTCCAACCGCTCACAGCCCGTTCCAACCGCTCACAGCCCCTTCCAACCGCTCACAGCCCCTTCCAACCGCTCAGAGCCCCTTCCAAACGCTCACATCCCCTTATCACGCGCGCACACCACCCAGGACCACCCGACCTCCGTTGGTTCGACACTCGCGTCACTCATACTCACAGTGTTTCGCACCGTCGCGGCTGGAGGCCGCTCCGCTTAGCTGTTTAGGCTAGTCCTGACGTTCGTTGTTAGCTAGGTCTCTCCTCGCTCCGCCAGCCCCTCGAACGACCCTCTGGC